GGAGAGGGAAGGTTTTTAAAACAGATTATAGATGACGCGAATTAGTTCAGCATCACCTACATGAAAAATTCAACTACTTCATAGGGGTGACTTATTCTTTAAAGTATATGTTTTTCTGCCTTAACGCGTTCCCAGTTGGTAGGTCAGGAGAGGTCGAAACAGATTTCCACGTCGATAAACATACTTACGTACTTTTTGGACTTTTGGGGGTTTTAGAAATCAGGCGACAATTGCAAATCGTTACTAATATACGTGTACGTAGTGACTAAATCATGTAAAGCTGCCCTTTCTTATATGTTAATGTCTGCCATTTACCAATGAGATTATCTGTGCAATAAATTCAAATAACTCTTGCCTTGGCGTTAAAAAAAATTCCACATTCATTGCGCCTCTGAAATTACGTTTATCTCAACTAGTATTTCCCAGGGCATTTTGTAAAACGTAAGTGTGCTAATCTTACAATCAGATTGTTTTTAAAAGTTGCATGAGAAAACCGTTCCCCTAATTACAATTTATTAGTCATATCTTCTAAGAATAGAACAAGAATGGTGAAGGAAGGAACATACCACGTAACTGAATAACGAACGGGTGGTATGTGCAAATTGGTAATTTTTAGGACGTAAATATTAAACGATAGAGTTATCTCCTAAAAGCTCGGCATCTAGTCACTTTTTGTTCAGTACAAAAAAATTCTTAATCAGAACCACACATGGTCGATAGTATTTACAAACTCGGTAAAGGAAGCAATATAATCCAGAAAGGAAAACACACGTACTGTTTTTTTAAGACTGAATTTTACACAATAAAGTCTAGGACTCTTCATTTCTCGCTATCCATAACTTAACATTTGAAAGCAACGTATCTCATAAGCGAAAGCCTAAAGGAGGCAAGGAAATAATAATAATAAAAAAAAGTTGAATACTAAAAAGAAAAAAAATTGTAAAAAAAAGGAACATCAAAACCATAAGAAAACTATCGGATAGGGAAAGAAAAACGGAACAAGGCAGAGAAGAAAAGGTGAACGGGGAAAGCAAGAAGGAAAAGAGAAAGAATAAGAGTAAGAAGAAAAAAGCGTGGACACCCAACCTGGGACCGAGCAGCACGCTTGGGTGGCCCAGCGGGCTGTGGCTTGCGCAAGGGTGTGCGGGCACGCGCTGGTCGGTAAGGAGCGGGCGTGGATGGGGGCGTAGGTGGGCGGTTGGGTTGGGATAGGGGGTGGGGGCGGCATGGGGCAAACGCCGCTGCTCGCGAGCGGCGGGCGCGGGCGGGGGCGGGCGGCGGCTGCGGGCGGGGCGCGGGCGCGGGCGGGGCGGGCCGCGGCGCGGGCGCGGGCTCGGGCCTCGGGCTCGGCTCGGGCCTCGGCTCCGTGGCTCGGGCTCGGGCTCGGGCTCGCGGCTCGGGCTCGGGCTCGGGCTCGGGCTCGGGGCTGGCTGCTCGGGCTCGGCTGGCTCGGGCTCGGGCTGCTGGCGTCGGGCTCGGCCGGGCTTTCGGCTCGGGCCTTCGGGCTTCGGGCTCGGGCTCGGCTCGGGCTCGGGCTCGGGCGCTGTCGGGGCTCCCGGTGCTGGGCGGGCGCGGGCTCGGGCTCGGGCTCGGGGCTGGAGCTCGGGGCTCGGCTCGCCGGGCTGGCTCGCCGGGCTCGGGCTCGGGGGCTCGGATGGCTCGGCTCGGGCTGGGCGGCTCGGGCTCGGCTCGGGCTAGGGCTAGGGCTCGGGCTCGGGCTGAGCGAGCGAGGGAGGGGGCCGGCGGGCAGGCGGCGCGCTGCCAACAGGAAGAAACAACAGGCGCCCTGTGCGCGTGCCGCGCGCTCCGGAACGGCGTAAATGCGGCTCTCAGTCTCAAACTCGGCGGCCACTGGGCGCCCAGCGCCGCGCCGCTTTGTCTCATTAGGGCAGTGGCTGCCTGCTTACGACACGCCGCCAGTTAGTAGTTCTTTCAGTGTTGGCTGCCGACTGATCGTAAACATTGCGACGCATTATGTACCGTGTGGACATTGGAAAACTGGTATAATAAGCCACCAAGATGGCACGCGAAACAATAGAAAATCCACAAATGGCATTAAGGAAAAAAGACCATATTACTTCCCACCTCTTGCTTTTACTTACATTATGAACCGTGCGAAAAAACCTATACAATTGATTGCATTCAACACTAGTAGAAAGTTATTTCAAATTTAATAATATTCTCAATACCGTAGTACGTTATTCAGTTGTTTCCCTTCACAGCGAAAATATGCAATTTACTTTTCTCACAAATATTATTAGGTGATATTCAAAACCAAAGTCATTTATTTTGCATGAATCATGGATTTCTGGAGAACGTAGAACTACTAGGTATATTAAAAGACGATAATTACATACTTGTATCACACCATACATTTTTGGGACTTGGAAAAAATCAAGACTTGGAAGGCGTACACAGTCTAACGACGCTGATTCATGGTACGTAGAACCGCAGTCACGTCCCACACTCACGGCCATTACTTTTCCTCCGGGGAAATATAATTAAACAAACGACCGGAGGGCGTGTGGGCGCGCGAGGGTGAGGGAAAAACAAAAACCACCTTGAGCGGCCGCCGCCAAGCAAACCTCGCGCCAGTCGGCCGCCGCGCTCCGCTTCCAAAGGCGCCGCGGCGCTGCTACTGCCGCGGGCGCGGCCTGCGGCGAGACGAGCACGAAGATGCACTCCAAATGTCGAGGAGCTCTCGCGAATCCAGGTCGCCTCCGCGGCGGCGGCGGCGGAGGCTGTGGCGGCAAGAGGGTGGGAGCGGGGACGGCATCGGACGTTTCAGGGCAAGGCAAGTGAGACACATAGGCGGTGCAGAGATGGAGGCGAAGGCGTGGGAGGAAAACGAAGACGAAGGTTGAGGAGGAGAAGAAGAGTCGCTTGAGAAGGACACGGAGGTGGAGACAAGTCTAAACAGAGACGCAGGTGGAGGCAACCTGACACACGCGGAGACAAAGGCGGTGGCAGAAGGGGGTCAGAGATGGAGACGAAGGCGTGAGGGGGAAAAAGACGCAACGAAGATATAGGTTCATACAGAAAGGAAGACGGTTCAGAAGGAAGCGTAGGTGGAGGCACGTTGAGGCAGAGACGCAGATGGAGACTCCCGAGACTCTCGGTAACGAAGGCGGCAACACTGAGGGAGAGGAGATGGAGATAAGTGGAGGCGACGGAGAAGCAGAACGAGACTCCGGAGGAGACGAAGGTGGAGATAGACGCAGATGGAGTTTCAGACAAGCGGAGACAGTCGGAGAGACTGGCTGTCACGCAGGCAGGAGACATGAGTCAAAGCCGGGGACGCAAACGGAGGGAATCGAGAAGCAGAGGTGGCAGAGGCGGCGACGCTGCGCTGCTTCAGGCAAGTGGGCTCCACAGGCGGCCTTGGTTCTGCACCCGCAGGCGGCAGGAGGAGGAGGGGGCGGTGAACGGTGCGGCAATCGCAGCCGCCGGCGACAGATGAAGCAGCAGCAGCACGGCGCGGACCGAAGGGAGGTCAATGAGGACGGGCAACCAAATGTCGAACATAAGATGCAATTGAAAATGCCAAACTTCCTACTAAATGTATCGTTTAATCTATTCAAGATACACCTCAATATTCGATTTGAGCGAAGTCGAGCCAAAATTTCACGTTATTTGAGTATTTTTAAGGAGTTTCACAGATTTTTAACTTGCTTCATCTGCGCGATAAAGTTTTAAAAAATTAAAACGAATATATCTGCATTTCTATAAAGTATTATACAAACCGTCTTTAGGAAAATTAATTTTAACCGATCTTTCTCGGATGCACAAAAAATAAGGCAATTATATCCTTGGCATCATCTCTCTTCAGCACGATAATGAACTCGCATTCAATTGTTTTATAACACAGAATACACATCTCTCCATCACTAAATCCTTTCCATGTCGTGTATGGTGTTTCATGGATTCAACTTATCCCCGATTTACGCCAATGGCACGATAACTGAAGCGACATAGAAGTCCCTATAAGCACAAAAGCATGGAGTCCAAAATTTGCCTCTTCTTTTGTGAAATTTTTGCCTCTACCTTCACGGCCAATTAAGTGAGAGTGATCAACTGTTAATATTAATAAAATAAAATTTTAAAAATTCCTAACCGGCAAACATGCCAAACAGGGGGAAATAAATTATGTATAAAAAAAATAAAAATAAAAAATAAAAAAACAACAACTCTAGAGGTATGCAGCGAAGCTGCGGCTTCGGCAGAGAAGACTGCGGAGGTTCAGCGCCCAATCTCAGACGTTACTCTCTCGAGCGACGGGAAGGCGGTGGAAGCGGAGGAGGAGGGTGGGGGGTTTACAGAGGATCTGCGCTCTGGCGCCAGGCAACGTTTTGTTCCTCGCGCGGAGGCGGAGAGATGTCAAGGTCCAGGCGCTAAGTGGCCTCTTTCAGGAAACCGGAACCGCCGCGTGGGAACCTGCGCAAAGCCAGCGAACAAACGTAATGCGATGCAGCCAGGCAGCGGGAAGCCTCAGATGGGGCCTAACCAACGCTCACAGGGATTACTTGAAAGTTCCTCGCGAAACTATTACAAGGCTTACATCGAAACGATTCCTTCAACTTTGCCGATGTCTGTACGAGATTAATTCCTCTTAATGTCACAGCTTTCTAGAACGACTAACACGGTATATTATTTAACTATTAAGCTAAATGATTAAGAAGGTAAAGCACGTGAAAGTGATACTCGCGTTCCGATTCCCAGTATTCTTAAGAAAACTCTTCTACTTTACCGGCACAATAACGTTTTCTCGCCTTCAAAATGTTTTTCCCATAATACTGAGAGGGCTGCGATACTTACTGTGAGTGGTTTTCCCACCATTGACGATTACAGGCATGAAATGGAACGTTGCATGTCACTAAGAAAGTATGTTACATGCTTTTTGTTCGAGAAAGTGAAATTGGTAACTACAAGAGTTTAACATTTTCAAATAATATAACCTCACGTCTAGTCATTTATTTAAGATGAAAATTATAGAAAAGAAAAAAAAATAAGAAGCCTCCAACTCAATTATGTGAGAATGTTTTTTAATTACACACAAAAATTATAGATTTAACTAATGATAATAACACACACATTAAAATGCTTCAGAAATACATTTGTGTATTTGAATTTTTCTTTGAAGCCAAAATATACTCGTGCGGAATATATTTACAATAGTAGCAATCACCATCTAGACAGTTGAAAAAACACTGTTCGGTTTCAATGGCCCAGGCACTGTTGCCGCTCGTGGCCATCTCCCGAACATTTACAGAAATCGCCATTCGTTAGAATTACAGTTCCCAAGATTTCTGACATACACACCGACTACCTTTTCAGTAAATACTCGTATTTCAGATAGAAATGTTATCTGATGTACAGAATTAAAAAGCAACAAAACTGTCCATGTATTAAACAATTTTTAATGTTTCTTTTTCTTATTCATAATAAATTGCAAAATTTGTTATTTTTCTGTCAACGAGGCGTTGAATAAAATTAGTTTCATGCGTTGTTTCGAAGTAGTTACTGATTTTCAGTGTTACAGCTTCCTTCAGTCTCCAAGTTGATGAAGTCCCGCAATTTGCTTTCGCTCACCTGGAACAAAAAAGAAAAAATACATAAATAATCCCATCAAATCTACGAAATTAACAAAGAACACAAATTAAGACCCTATTTAAAAATCTTACGAAGTGGGAAGTTACTGACGTTCTCACGCAAAACCACGGTTTTCTAAGAATCATCTTTGCATAGAATGCTCGCAGAATAGAATAGAATACTTTGCAGAAAAACATTCCTGCCCAGGAGTACCTTCTTGACAAACAGCTAAAGCAAGGGAATAAATAGAACACGTGTTGGATGCGAGTATAATAGACGAAGATTCAAAACTTGTATATGCATTAATTCACCAAAACAAGTGTCTTGCGGTCAATTTGAGGCATTTCTGTCGTGCATGCCGACGGCGATTATCCGACTTTCGCTATTACGGCTATTCGCCGATACGGCCTAGGCTGACTCAGTTTCCACGTGTGACTACCACTGAAGACTTTATTCCTAATTAAATACGCCCATTCCACCCGTGTTCCATATGCTTTAGCTGTTTGTCAAACGCCTCCCGCCCTGTGCTTTCCGCGCCCGAGGCGCCGCCTCGGCCGCAGCCGGCCCGACGCGAAGCGCTGTCGGCGAAGGGACAGTCGAAATGCACGAGCGCCTTAGTTCCGGTCTCGCCACCAACGATTACGTGGGCGCTGTCGCCAATGTCGCCCAGTGAATGAAAGAAACCGCAAATGGTGGCGGCGTGGACCGGGACGACCGCGGAGGCGGAGACTGGAGCGAAAAGAGTGGGGGAGAAAGAGGGAGATGGGGCGTGTCGGCGGCGGCGGAGGTGCGGGTGCGGTCCGAGGACCGCTGGAGAAAGCGTGGCGGCGGAGGCGGCGGTTGCAGGTGCCTCACGCAGCCTACAGCGGCCCCACTCGTGCAGCCACACGCACTTCCTACTTCTTCCGCCGCCGTCGAACCCGTCCGCACACGCTCGCCCGCGTTTCGCGCCCGACTTTGCCGCTCCCCTCCCTTCACCCCTCTCTTCCCGTCCTCATGTCCCCAACTCCGCCATCCTCTCGCCATCACATCTCCGCCATCCTCTGGCACCACCCTCAACGTCCTCCCACCGCCACATCCACCAGCCTTTCGTCGTCAAATGAACCGTCCTCTCTCCAAACTCCGCCTTCCACTCGCTGCCGCCTCCGCCGTTCTCTCTCCGTCGGTTTCGCCGATCTTGCCCCGTGTTTCCCTTGACTTCGCATGAGTAATGCAAATTTGTGATGATGAATCGACTTGATAGCGATCGTAGATTTTCGATATCGGCATAAATTCAGCGTATCGGAACAACTTTATAGTTGTAGGCGCCGGTGGTCAGATATTAACTGTAGCAGATGATGAAATACTATTGTCGAAGGTATTTATGTTACGCGTGGGTATCAGGTGGGACACGACTGAGTTGCATTTGTTACTCAATATCTCACTAGTGAAAACAAAAATTCACAAGACTTTTTCACAATAACTACTACGTGTACGTAGGACGGGAGGGGCGGAGAAATCATACGAATTGAAACAGAAAATTAAAAATTTTTTACGGTAACTAAGGCTTGAGTGCTCAAAAATTAAATACGAAAAGCAATAGCGAGAATTAAGGAATACTGGACAAAATAGAAAAAATCACTGCAATACACTCAGCACTATTACGTAAAAACGATGTGTGCAGGTGGCATCGTACTGCTACTCCGCATAATTTACAACACTTTTATGAAGTCTACTCAATAGTTATTAAGCAACATTGAATCGGTAATATAAAGAAATATAATAACCGAGATCTCTATCTCAATAACGGAACGGTCAATCGAAATGACAGGAAATCGAAACACCCTACACTAGATCTTCACGCAGCGATGTTGTTAAACAGGTAGCAGCAATCGCCAATCCCAATTCTGAAAAACTCAAAACGCATCGTAAATAATTGCTGCTCCCGACATCTTTACGCAGCCTCCCGGCATAAAATAAGAAGCAGTCGAGAGATTTTTGTTTTTTGTTTGTTTTTTTTCGTATTAATTTCTGCGGCGCGGAGTTAAGACGTACGAGCGAGATCCAGTTTCGGAGCGCGCTTCTCGCCCACACATGACCCACGCCGTCCTCTCCCTTCCCTTCCGCTCGTAGATGGACCGCCTCCGCCTCTACAATATCCATCCTCAAGCACGCGCCCGCTACACGACTGCAGGTCTCCGCCGGTCTCTACAACCACCCGCGCCCGCCGCCAAGCCCAGCGCCTCACCTCTAGTCCTACCGTTCCCCGGCCTCAGATTTTCCTCCATGTTCACTTCCGCACCTAAACGTACCTTCCCCGCCCCTGTTTCGCATCCTGTCGTTTCCCACCCTCGCATCAGTATCCATGTTCTACATCTCAGCCACATGCATACAGTTTGCACACCGCCACACCCACCCTCCAGCACCGCAACGCGCATCCCACCTCTGCATCTTTTCTCCCGCTCTTCCGCACACGCCGTCGTGTTTTAATCGTCACTACAGCGACGTTTAAAAAGCTCACGAATGGATGACGGCGTCACAGCTGACGGACTTCGCGTTTTACTGGAATTATAAACTTTCCGTTCTCCACGACTACCAACCCTACGTGTCTATTTCCGCTTCTACACCTGCCGTTCCCGCCCCCACGCCCACCGCCCCCGCGCGCCGGTTCAGGCCGAGCCGGGCCGTGCACTCAAGGCCTCCACGCCGCCGCCGCCGCTCCCTTTGCTCGTTAGGGGCAATTAGCCATGCAAGCAGCGATGGCGCAAGCGCGGGCCGGCGGGAGAAGGCTCCGCGGGGGCGGCAGAATGCAAACACGCTTCCCACCTTCAGGGGCGCTCGGAGCGCACAAGGCGCTCGCGACCGTTAATGCGAAGAAATGGGGCTTTTGCTGTTTGGCGAAGCATGCTAACATAATCGTTCAAGTGGAAATGGCTCTCTGTAAACTTCCTGTTCAATGTATAACTCGAATAAAAGTAAATAATGGGCCTTTATTTCAAGCTCAGCCAATACTACTTTTATCAAAATATAATCGATAAGGACAATTGAAAAAGGCAAACACAGTTAGCATGACATTACTGAGCTTCAACAAGTGAATTCAATAATTTTATCGTAGAGTTAATGTTTTGAATCCTGTCTTTGCCGACGAATATTTTCTGTTCGTCCTTACACAGATCGTACAAAGACCATAACACTCTGACAGCGTACACCCATCTATTTTTCTTCTGTTCCCTACGAAATATACATCTGGAACCAATAGATACCTGATTATCTTCGAACAATATTAAATTAGACGAGGTCGTAAGAGCAAACACATGAAATTAGCTATCATGTCTGTGATTTAAAACGGAGTGAGATATAACCTAGTCAAATCTGTAACATACTAATCATACAACATTTAAAAGGAAAGTTTCGGGAAAGTTAAAAACTTTCAAAGAAAATTTGAGAAAAGAAGACCTAACCCCTCTTTAACTCTCACACTATTCCGATTTCAAACGGATTCACTCAAGCATTCTCCAGCGGTCCACAATCCTCACAGCACACCTGGCAAACGAGGAACGAAAAAAACATACACTTTCTACTCGAGCTAAGAACTCTTTAACACCTTCCCCACCGGAGGTCATACAAAAGGCTCTTTCTCGCAAAATACCCGGCATTTCCCGTGGATAGACGAGGGGGGGGCGGGGCGGAGGGCACCACCTTCATGGAACGCCGGCTCACTGCCGGAAGGGAGAGAGAAGGCGGGCGTGGTGCGGCCTGGGGCACTGAGCCCGCGCGGATATGAGGTGCGGGCGTCGGCGGGCGCGGCGCGGTAAGGGACTAGGCGGGGGCGGGCGCCAGCTGTGGAAGGGGGAGGTGGCGGGGCGGTGATTTGGGAGGGTGGGCGGCCGCGGGCGCGTGTGCGTGCTGCCCACCGATCCAGAATGACACGCAGGGGAGGGGGGGCGTTCTTGACGCGCGCTAAGTGAGGGGCGGGGCCCGAAAACGAGGCTCGAACCAATTACGCAGCGCTAACGAGTGGCCGCGGGGGGCGGCACGTCCGCGGCGTCCAGCAGGGGTGTCGGTACACAGCAGTGGCTTTTACACCCGTTCTGAAGACCACAGGACGTCAAGAAAGAACGGGAAAGAATCGTGAGAAGAATGATGTTAGTTTACTGAAAGTTATATATTATGTTTAGTATATTCACATGCTGGCATGTTGGTATCACACATGTATACGTGTATTTCACGCATATGCATACGTGAAGTTACGTAAGCGAACTATTTTATACAGTAACTAAAAGTTATGAAAATCACTAAGCGAGGTAGTGCACTAGGCCTCAATATTTATCATAGAAATGTCATAACTTGATCATGCCTTCTGAGATTACAAGTATTTCGATTTCTGATTCACTGAAATTGAACATTCTAATGAAATTGAATTACATTCACTCTGTCGAAACTACGAAACAGAGCAACTATAATCCTGATTTCGGAAGGCTTTTGAAATATTCATACAATATGCAATGTTTGGAAACGTGACAAGAACGCTTTGGTCATCTTGGAACGCAGTCACAGACGATACAATGTGGCCGGATTCCCAGTCAGTGACATTTCTTCTTACCGCCACGTCAATGCAATGCCGCTGCATCCGGCCACCACGGCCCGACGGCGGCGGTGAGCGGCAGGCGACGCCGACAAGGCGGGGCGTGGCGACGGGCCGGGCCGGGGCGCGCGTAGCGGTGGAAAGGGACCCCGCCCCCTTCGCAATGGGAACGGGAACGGTCACGCACTTCGTCACCCGCCTCCGCCCCCTCCTGCACCGCCTTCCGTCAGGCCAAAGCGCTCACTGCGTTTGCTTCACAGTCGTGATCTATTACACCACGCCGCCGGCTAGGCCGAGTCGCTCTGTCCTTTGTAACCCTGAACACTTTTAGCAGATGAAAGTCAACGTTTCAAATAAAATTCTTTCATAAGTTCCGAATTAAATGTGTACATTTGATTCCACTTTCGAATATAACTCTGATGATTGCTGAATCCAA